AATGCCAAAAACATTGCAAAGAATCAGGTTAGATTGAAAAATGTAACTTGACTTATTAAATGAAACATTCGAACCTCTTCCCCACTCGCACCCCCACCCCCTTGCCTCTAATGAGCAAGTACACGCTACCTGTTTACTGTATTGCTGACAGCACTAGCCTCCCAGTCAAACGTAATCCCTATCAATCAGTTACGTAGAAGTGTGTCGCTGTCGGCCCAAGGAGAGGAAGTGCTCACGTATATCCTCCCTACCCTAGGCGTTTTTCTAACTTGTTAACTTCTTGTTCAGTTATTTGTCTATTTTCTTGTGATTTCTACTATTTTCTGGGTAATTAAACGTTCGAAAATTTGAATAGTTTCTCGTATATTTCTCTCTCGATTATTTTCTCTTCATACAAATTATTTTTTTGAAATTTCTAGTGCTTTCTAGTTATGATGGTTGAAACAGGCGGGGCAGGATAAGCCCACCGTTTGGTATTTTTATTTTGATAATGATCTATCTGTACAATCCATTCAGCATTAAGGAGAGATTTCTTATTGATATGGAAATAGTTATTTCGATTGTTTTCTCGATGTTACAAGTTTACATGAAAGATCCTATTTTCTACATTTTAAGTCCCTAAAATACATGTTTTGGTTCTGATAACAGCAATCTTAAAATTAGGGGTTGTATAGTCGTGGATTTTATTTTCTATTCTATATTGTTATATTTATATTGTATTACAGTTTGCCGTTTTGTAGTTGAATAACGAAGGAAAACATTTGTTGTGAATGAGAGTGTGTAAAATTGTTTTGAACCATAAAGGTAATCACAAAAGCATCATGCAAAAATATTGCAATACGTATTGCTTGAACAATACAACGAAAATACCCTAACACATTCTGAGTTCCCCTACAAACTTCAATTCATGCAAACAAAACGCAAACATGGGGTGTCACACCATTTTGATATAGGTGTCACCCATGTGTGCCTAAACATGATAATTATTCTCTAAACTGTGTCAACAATTGAACGCATTTACACATTTATATCAATAAAACGGTGATTAATTGTTCTGCAACACATTCTCAGAAATACTTACTACGATAAGGTGTTATAAGTCGAGATTAAGGTAGGGTACCATCCGTACCACTTGCTGCTTCAAGTATAAGGTAAGGTATCACCCATAACAGTTGTTGCTTCAAGTATAAGGTAAGGTATCAACCATACCAGTTGCTTCAAGTATAAGGTAGGGTACCATTCATAACAGTTGTTGCTTCAAGTATAAGGTAGGGTACCATCCACAACAGTTGCTGCCTCAACTATAACGTAAGGTGGCATCTTTAACGGTTGTTGCTTCGAGTATAAGGTTGCGTACCATCCATAACAGTTGTTGCTCCAAGTAAAAGGTATGGTATCACCCATTACAATTGTTGCTTCTAGTATAAGGTAAGGTATCACCCGTAACAGTTGTTGCTTCTAGTATAAGGTAAGGTATCACCCGTAACAGTTGTTGCTTCAAGAATAAGGTAGGGTATCACCCATAACAGTTGTTGCTTCAAGTATAAGGTAAGGTATCACCCGTAACAGTTGTTCAAAAGTTTCTTAAAGTATAAGGTAAGGTAAGGTATCACCCGTAACAGTTGTTGCTTCTAGTATAAGGTAAGGTATCACCCGTAACAGTTGTTGCTTTAAGTATATAAGGTAAGGTATCACCCATAACAGTTGTTGCTTCAAGTATAAGGTAAGGTATCACCCGTAACAGTTGTTGCTTCAAGTATAAGGTAAGGTATCACCCATAACAGTTGTTGCTTCTAGTATAAGGTAAGGTATCACCCGTAACAGTTGTTGCTTTCAAGTATAAGGTAAGGTATCACCCGTAACAGTTGTTGCTTCAAGTATAAGGTAGGGTATCACCCATAACAGTTGTTGCTTCTAGTATAAGGTAAGGTATCACCCGTATCAGTTGTTGCTTTAAGTATATTAGGTAAGGTATCACCCGTAACAGTTGTTGCTTCAAGTATAAGGTAAGGTATCACCCATAACAGTTGTTGCTTCAAGTATAAGTTAAGGTATCACCCATAACAGTTGTTGCTTCAAGTATAAGTGTAAGGTAAGGTGTCACCCATAACAGTTGCTGCTTCAAGTATAAGGTAGGTTACCATCCATGACAGTTTTTGCTTCAAGTATAAGTTAAGGTATCACCCATAACAGTTGTTGCTTCTAGTATTAGGTAAGGTATCACCCGTAACAGTTGTTGCTTCTAGCATAAGGTAAGGTATCACCTGTAACAGTTGTTGCTTAAAGTATAAGGTAGGGTATCACCCATAACAGTTGTTGCTTTTAGTATAAGGTAAGGTATCACCCATAGCAGTTGCTGCTTCAAGTATAAGGTAGGGTATCATCCATAACAGTTGTTGAATCAAGTGCCAGATAGGATATCATCCATAACATGTTTTTCTTACATCTTAACATAACATGTTTGAATCAAATCATCCATTACGTGTGCAGCTTCAAATGTATGACTGGGGAACATCGAGAACAACTATCGCTTCAAATGTATGGGAAGGTATTAAACAGGACGGCGATTGCTTCAAATGTTCTTTAGGGTACAGCCAAGGACGAGTACTTCACTTGTTTGAGTACCACCCAGACACATGCTTCAAATATATGTCAAGGAACCATTCAGAGCCCGTGATTCAAATGTATGGCAGGCAACCACCCCAGAACATATGCTTCAAATACATGTCAGGAAGCCATACAGAACCCGTGCTTCAAAAATATTTCAGGGAACCACCCAGAACATATAATTCAAATATATGTCAGGGAGCCATACAGACGCCGTGCTTCAAATATATATCCTGAAACCTTTCATGACCTGCGATTCAAATATATATCAGAAAACCATTTATAACCCATGCTTAAAATATATTTCTGGAAGCCACCCAGAACATATCCTTCAAATATATGTCAGGTATCCATGCAGAACCCGTGCATCAAATATATCTTAAGAAGCAATCCAGAATCCTTGCTTCAAATATATGTCAGGGAGCCATAGAGAACCCGTGCTTCAAATATATGTCAGGTATCCATACAGTACCCGTGCTTCAAATATATCTTAAGGAGCCATCCAGAACCCGTGATCCAAATATATGTCAGGGAGCCATACAGAACATGTGCTTCAAATATATGTCATGGAGCCATACAGAACCCGTGCTTCAAATATTTGTCACGGAGCCACCCAGAGCACGGCTTCAAATGCATGTTATGGAGCCACCAAGAACGTTTGTTGCCTCAACTGTAATGTTGGTTCCATTGAAGGCATAAATTTCCATCAAATCAAACTCTCCACTCAAGATTTTTTTATCAATATGTCCTTTCACGTGTGCAGTTTGACCGGCAATCACTGTTGAATGATTTGTATTCAAAACGATATGGAGCTTTCTAAACGTGTGTTTTTTTCCAAGTAATTTCACGTGTTCAGAATGAAGAAGGTTATTAGTCTCATAATGAAAATCTCTGTATTATCTCATTCAGGTTTTTTAGTTGTCATAAAATAGATAGACTCACAGCCACATTCTGACATCGAGTACATATAGAGTTTATGGTTGCTAGAGAAACGGAAGATGGATGAATCAAATGATGAGGCTGGGGATTGTAGAGAGGTTCGGATTTGTTGGGGGGAGAGGTTTACAGTATGGGAGAATGTGGGGTCGGGGGTGGGGTGGGAAGGGGATGGGGGTAAATTCAAAACGTGATGTCGGCTTGACTGCCTAAGATCTATGAGTGATGATGGGTTTTTTTGCCGTGGGTTAAGGAACAGGGAAAAACAGGTGCGGTTTTTTACGTAACGATCACATGACTACCGTACACGTATATATATACGTGCATTTTTTTCATCCCTCCATATCCTCTTCCAAGGCTATCTTCGTCAACACACCACCCACAGGTAAGTGACTTCTTCACAGACCCGTGAAGATCCGAGTTAGAATAGGTATTCAGCATCTCATGCTTGTTGTAAGAGGCTAACTGGATCGGGTGGTCAGGCTCGCTGACTTGACAAATGTCTGGTATCCAAAATACGTAGATCGATGCTCATGTTGTTGATCACTGGATTGTCCGGTCCAGACCGCCGCCATATAGCTGGAATATTGCTGAGCGCGGTGGTAAACAACAAACAAACGTATCGTACAGCCACCAGGTTTGGCGATGTATATATTGAAGTTCATCATCTGGCATCCATTATCAAATGTGCGGTGATCACCAAACGCAGTGGTCTTGGTATTATAGCTTTGTTATACCACAAACTGGTTATAAAAAGTATTTGTTGTACATCTAAAGTGGTGCTTGTAAGCATTTTCATATCTTGATTGCACATTTAGTTAAATCAATGAAATTTCACTCATGATCAGCTATACGAATTAGATTCTGAACAAACTGTACTTAATTTTTTTTTTAAATTTGGTGTAGATTATACATTGCCTTGATTATTTCTCCAATTCTATCAACATCTTCCGAAGCAGTGTTCGGAACCTAATGGTACTACTTTGGTAGCATAAGTATGTCTTACAGCGAAATTTCTCGCTATTTCAACTGTTTGTTTAGTTTGCCAAGAGTAAAATCACCGTATTTCTATTATTGCGAAGTTTCTATTTTGTGGTAATAATTTAAGAGAATTAAACATTAATAATTAAAAGTCTTAAACTTGTCAGATATGCAGGCATGCCTTTTAATATTAAATGAAGGATATGAAATATTTTCCAGCACACCAGCATCATGAACTCCGTCATCGTCTTGGTAGCATGCCTGGTCGCGGCCGCTGTCGCCGAGCCAATTCACTATGGTAAAGGACTAGGAATTGGAGGTTTTGGAGGTCTTGGAGGTCTCGGAGGTCTTGGAGGTTATGGAGGATATGGACTGGGACTAGGAGGATATGGACTTGGAGGGCTCGGAGGTCTTGGAGGATACGGACTTGGAGGGCTCGGAGGTCTTGGAGGATACGGACTTGGAGGATACGGACTTGGAGGATACGGTCTAGGAGGATATGGACTCGGAGGATTAGGAGGACTCGGAGGATATGGACTCGGAGGATTCGGAGGACTCGGAGGATACGGACTTGGAGGTTTTGGAGGTCTTGGAGGGTTGGGATTCGGAGGTTTCGGCTTCGGAAGAAAAGGTAGTTGACATTATGGTCACCTTCATGTAATCATTTGCTTTCAGCATTAATATTGTATCTGCACATATAATGGTTTGTCTAAACCCAAAAAATCGAGATACATGGCTGTAAATTGAATTTATTTTACTATTGATGTGTCCTGTCAAAACAATCCTTATAATGATTCAGTAGGAATCACAGAGAAGAACTGGGGCGGTGGGGTAGCCCAGTGGTTAAAGCGTTCGCTTGTCACGCCGAAGACCCTGGTTCGATTCCTCACATGGGTACAATGTGTGAAGCCCATTTCTGGTGTCCCCGTCGTGATGTTGCTTTGAATATTGCTAAAACGGCGTAAACTAAACTCACTCGCATACAGAGAAGAACTGTAGAACTTCAATTGGTTTAACAGCTCGACTGCAGACAGATATATATCATAACTCATTGTCGTATACTTTACCAACCTTTCTTTATTTTCGGATATTATTAACAACCTTGAGAAGTGAATGAAAAGACTGTTAATTCAGGTGATCACTATATATATGTTGCAATGAATATTTCCGATCACATTAATGATTCAACAAGGATCACAGAGAAAAGTATATATTTTATGATGAACATGTCCGTCGGAGTCGTCTCCTTCTGAACGATGCTGCTTCAGACTCAAACAGACCGGCTAGGTCCGGCGTTAAACAACAAGCCAACGAACAAATCTTACAGATTGTCTGCAGACACATCCATCATTACCCATTATATTCATCTCTGTTTGCAGGATATTAATAGGAACCTGACGAAGTATATGAAGACCTTTGATCTTGACCCATTATACACATTTGTCAATGTGTCATTCTGATTGTATGGACTGTGTTGACGTCGACCTTGAATAAAACGTGCACGCAACATGTATATTTTCTAGTTGTTTATTATTTATTATTAGTTTTGCCTGACGGGGAATGTCCAGACAGCTGACAGTTCATTGAGTTCTAAAGAACGCATGGTCACTTGTTCCAATTGTCCTTCGACCCGGGGGCGGTAGTTAAAGCGTCCGCTTGTCACACTGAAGACCAGGGTTCGATTCCCCACATGGGTATAAGTACAGTGTGTCCCCCGCCGTCATATTGCTTGTATATTGCTGAAAGCGGCATAAAAGCATACTCACTCTCTCACCTCCGACCCGATTGTGTTTCCTGGTTTGTCGGGCGGTGAGGTAGCCTAGTGGTTAAAGCGTTCGCTCGTCACGCCGAAGAACCCAGTTCGATTCCCCACATGGCTATAGTGTGTGAAGCCCATTTCTGGTGTCCCCGCTAGTGATGTTGCTGGAATATTGCTAAAAGCAGCGTAAAACTAAACTCACTCACTCACTCACTCAAGGTTTGTCATCACCAAAGTGAAAATTTTAACACAATCTAGGTATATCTACATAGGTCTTTACTTAACTGAATTCAGGTGGTAAAGAAGCCCAGGCGCTGGGGCAGGTGGTAAATGAACGTTTGATTGGAATTGAATCTTGAATGAGCATATGGAATAGTTAGGTACAGAACAAGTTCTGCAATATTCTACAATGACCAATGTAAACCAATATTTAACACAGAAAGTTAAAGTCAGGACAATGAAGCTTTGGCTACAGATCACAATGATTCATTATTATCTCCTACAACACGATTTGTATGACAATCTCCAGTCTGCATATCGGCACTAGTCAAGGTCCTCGATGATTTGTGGCGTGGTGGTATATTGGCCCTTCTCGATTTAAGCAGTGCCTTTGATACCATCGACCATGACAAACTCATCCATCGTCTTATGGGTGATTTCTCCATTGACGGAACAGCTCTTACTTGGTTCCAGTCGTACCTGTCGGTTGGTGTTCAGACCGTCATCATTGATGGTCATTACAAGTATGGTGTTCCACAGGGGTCTGTCCTAGGACCAGTCCTGTTCACATTGTACATAACAGAGCTCGGAAGCGTAATTGATGAGCACCGTGTGAATCGTCATCACTATGCAGATGATGCACAGGTATACAGATGCTTTAGTCCTGAGTTTGTTATCATGCCCACTAACACTAACACTAACACTAACACTACCAATACAAATACCAATACAACTACCACTATCACTACCACTACTACTACCACTACCACTACCACTACCACTACCACTGCCACTACCAACTACAACTACAACTACCACTGCCACTACCACTACCTACCACTACCACTGCCACCACCACCACCACCACCACTACCACCACCACTACAACTACTACTACCCATACTACTACTACTACTAACAACAAAACCACTACCACTACCATTACCACTACTAGTACAACTACCAATACTACTACCACTACAACTACTACTACCACTACCACTGCCACTACCACTACTACAACTACAACTACCACTGCCACTACCACTACCACTACTACTACTACTACTACTACTACTACCACTACCACTACCACCACCACCACCACCACTACTACCACAACTACCCATACTACTACTACTACTACCAACAAAACAAAACCACTACCATTACCACTACTAGTACAACTACCAATACTACTACTGCTACAACTACAACTATCATTACTACTAATGCTACTACTACTACTATTACTACAAGTACTACTACTACTACTACTACTACTTCTACTACAACCAATACTTCTACTACTACTACTGCTAATACAACTACTTCAACTAATATTACTACTGCTACTACTACAACTACAACTACTATTACTACTACTACTACCACTACTACAGCTACTACTATAACTACTGCTACTACTACTACTACTACAACAGTTACTATAACTACTATTACTACTACTACTACTACCACTACTACAGCTACTACTATTACTACTGCTACTACTACTACTACTACTACTAGAACTACAACTACTACTACTACTACTACTACTACTACTACTACTACCACCACTGCTGCTACTACTACTACTACTACTACTACAATTACTACTACTACAACTACCAACTACTACTACTACTACTACTATTACTACAACCAATACTACTACTACAACTACTACTAGTATTACAACTACTACAACAACTACTACTACTACTACTTGCAGCATTGTAACCGGGATATGTGCAAAACTAAAACCATTTTATATGATACCGATGACTATGAAATGATAGTAATGTATATTATGATGTGTACAGAACCACACAGACACACACTGACATACATACACATATATCTATATACGTTTAGTCAGCTTTAGATAAATCATAGAACAAAAACTATGACTACTGCACTCTCATTGCTGCATTCATCATGTCATATGTATACACTGGTTTGTTTGGGCGGCGGGGTAGCCTGATTGTTAAAGCGTCCGCTCGTCACACTGAAGACCCGGGTTCAATTCCCCACATGAGTACAATGTGTGAAGCCCATTTCTGGTGTCCCCCGCCGTGATATTGCTGGAATATTGCTACAGTACAAACAGAAATTATTGAGAATTTAAAGATTGTAAATGTCTTCTTTTTTTTCATTTATTACTCACGTATTAAATGTGAATATTAGCAGAACATAACTCCAGATTCAAAGACAGGTGAACAGTTAGCATTTTGCCAAGCTACCATGGGCAGCAATGCAGGCTTCAATGCGGCGGGGCATACTACTGATCAAAGAAGTTAGAAAGTCGTGGTCCATGTTGTCCCAATATCGGACCACCGATATTCTTTCATTTCAGCATTATTTGTCATATTTTTATTATTGACACTTTCCTTCATAAGTCCCCAAACATTTTCTGTTGGATTTAGGTCAGGGCTATAGCTTGGCCAATCTAATAATGTCATATTTTGGTTCCGAAACCAGGCCTGTGAATGCATTGAACGATGTTTTGGGTCGTTGTCCTGCTGGAAAATCTAAAGATTCCCATAGGACACGTGAGCAGATGGAAGTAAATATCCCTCGAGAATATATGTGTACCGCTCACTGTTCATATCCCCTTCAAATACACAGAGGGGCGTTGCCCCTAACACAGATATGCCACCCCACACGTTAAATTTCGGACTGTACTTTGGCCGCTGATACAAAGGTTTTTCAGTTTGTTTGGTCCAGAATTTCAGTGTATTAGGAAACAGCTACACAGAACTTTCATCTGAGAAAATCACATTGTCCCAGTTAAAATTTCCGTGCTGTAAGCACCAGTTCAACCTTCGCTCCTTTTGTTCAGGTTTCATGATCGGTGATGGAATTCCTCGACTTTTCTGCCAACCCATTGCATGCAGCTCAGTTCTAATTTTCCCCTTACAGACAGCCACAGTTCCTCTATCAGTCATATCCAGGCTTTAGAAACAAGAATACCAACCGCCTCCTGTCACCGACAGTCTATTTTCTGGGCCTACATGCGCCTCCCTGGTGCTCAGTGCCATATCCATTTGCAATATTTTTCAGAACACGATAAACAGTGGACAAAGGGATGCCTGTTCTACTTGAAATCACTTTAGCTGATCTGTTGTCCTTGTTATAATATTCTAAAATCAACTTCCCCTCTCTAAATCATCCATACTGAGGATCACTGAAAATGTCGCCTGCTAGCAAGTAAACAAAGGGGGATAACTCTTCATAAACTAATGAAAAAGGATTAACGGAGTTGTCTCTCTTGAATGAAACCAAGCACTTGATAGCTGGTCAAGGTTGTTTATACTAGAAATCCAATTAAACATATTCCTAAAATTCTCAATAATTTCTGGTCATACTATTAAGGCGTAAAATCTAACTCACTCACTCTCTTTATATTGTTTATAAGCTGCGACATCTTCGTGCGATTCACGTTTCTGTATTAATGTAAATTCCCTGATAAAGTATATCCTTGAAATGTGGATTTGTTCAAATCATTACAAACGATACCAAAACGTTGCTGGGCTGAAACACCTTAGTTCAAAACATTCATATCAAATAGAACTCTATCGAAAAACAATAATCAAACAATTAAATTAAGACGCCATCAAGCATACATGTCACCTGAGTGTTACACGCGTTCACAAGGTGTTCAAGAGGAATGACCTTTTAGGCAGTAGAGTAGCTGCATATTTTGATATACCACCATAATATGCTAGAAATTAATATGTTAGATCCAAACATCACAAGGTCAGTATATTTGTTCCTGATACATTTTTTTTTTAAAATATAATTTTATGGTACATTTTAAAAAAAAAGAAGATTTTTTATGAGCAAACCCAACCTGTAAACAGGACGCCGTAGGTCATAGGAATCAGATTACTTCGAACGCATGTCGCCAAGTCCATGAACATGTCGCCTGGAGACTTTTAAATGGCGTACTGGGGTCAGCGTACTTAGTGCTTGTCCGAGACAGATCCCTACCTGCCTTTCAGTGTCGTAATTACTTTGCCAGGGTTCCCACAATTTTGTTCAACACAATTCATGATTTTTCAATGATTTATCAAGACAAATATTGCTTTTCCCAGACTCCACAATATATGTCCTAGGGTATTTTGAAACCTTTAAACAGTTTACTCTGTCTGAAATAGTTTAGTGAGCTCAGTTTTACGCCGCATTCAGCAATATTCCAGCTATATGGCGGTGTCAGAAATAAAACAATATCTTAAATACAACCTCCCATCTCATCATTCACACCTCTTAATGATAAGATGACATAATAAAAATGTAGCACATTTTCTTATACTCTTTAGCTGTCTTTTTTACATATAACCTATATAAACTACAATTATAGTTTTGTTAGATTAAAAACCCAAAGATTATTCCATGAATTTTCCATGATTTCATACATTTTTATCAAATTCCATGATTTGTTCCAAGACTGGAAAATGGGATGATAGGATTTCCAGGTTTTGTGGGAACCCGTTCACAGTAAACAACGG